TTCTTTTATCCTTAAAATATTAGAAAATACCCATACTAGAAATAACCTTTTCAGGAATCTGATATTCTTGCTACTTGTCAGCTTGCCCTCATAATCTTTTTCCTTGTGTACCTTTGTTTATGACATTCCTACTTGATTGGTGTATCTTTTTAATTCTCCTTGGCTTAGCTAAATTTTTAAAATTGTAATTGAAGCTCAGGCCAGTATTTCTCAAAGTAGTTTAAATAGAACACTATATACATGAACTGTTACTAGGTATGTGGGAAAGATGGGCTCCCTGTTCAAGTAAGTTTGGAAAATTCAAATGATACATTTTAAGCAGGTTTGCAGTGGTGGTGTTTTTTTAACTTCAAAGATGTCTCAAAGCCTTCAGTTTGCTGATAGCCACTGTGACTCTTCAAGGTGACAGTCTAGTGTGTTATTTCTCAAACTTCTTTGACCATGGATCCCCTTTTAAGAAACATTATATAAGGCAAATAATTCTGTATCCTTCAGCCTTTCTTTTAATATCACATTAAAATAATTCAAATCACCTTCTAAGTGTCCTCCCACATACTTCTAAGGTATCTTGAGGGAATTCAAGTATGAACATTCTTTTCATACTTCTCGATGTGCTTTCACTTCTTTTTTCGATTACTCTTGCCTCATTTTGACTCTTGTACCTGCTATTTTATCTCTGCTTTTCTCTCCTAGTATGAACTAGCTTCTCTTTCCTGATAGTGAAGGAAGTTAAAATGTAGCATAATGCAGGGAGCAAATTAAAGTTGGATTTCTGACTTGTTAAAATTCTCTAACCATTTCCTTTTCTGTTACAGAAACCCAGCCATGTTTCTTCCTCAGGCCCATCCTGTTCCTATTTTGCTTTGGGACATACTGCTCTAGGCAAAAGTCTTCTCTGAGCCAATAATACTATCAATAAATGCTGTTATTTATTCCATATTTAAAAAAATTTAAGATATTTTCTAAACATTTAAAAACTAAGAATAAAGAGTTTATGAGTTTACTGTTTTGAGTGGGGCAGGATATGCAGGAAGAGGTTTTCAAAAACAGTAAATACTCCCAACTTCCCTTTTAAACAGCAGCGTTTAATGTTTTCTTTTAATTTTAATCATCTTATTTAAGCTCTACCATTAATGTATTATATTCCTCTCTATGCCAAGGTATTTTACTAAATATTACGGAGAATTGGAAATGTCTCAAGATTTGGCCCCTGCCCACAAATAACTTATTGGTAGAGAAAAGACATACATATGAAAAAAAAAACACGTGAAGAGGTGAACAATACAAGAAATGCCCTATGTTGATTAATGTTACAAGATGAGTAGTTTGAACAAGCAATGTTTGATATGCAGAGAGAAGAGAGTGTTCTGGGAATTTTCAGAAAGAATTAGACTCAATCTTGAAAGTTGACCAAGAATACCAATTAGGAAAGGGAAGAAAGGACATCCTAGGCAAAGGAGAGGGCATGAGCAGAAGCACCATAAGGAAAAGGGCAGGATGTTTTTGCAAGGCATGGGGCTGAGAATTCTAGAGATTATTTGGTAATTTGAAGAGGTATCAAAACGTTCTATGTACGGGGCGCCTGGGTGGCTCAGTCGTTCAGCGTCTGCCTTCGGCTCAGGTCATGATCCCAGGGTCCTGGGATCGAGCCCCGCATCGGGCTCCCTGCTCGGCGGGAAGCCTGCTTCTCCCTCTCCTACTCCCCCACTTGTGTTCCTGCTCTCACTAACTCTCTCTCTTTGTCAAATAAATAAATAAAATCTTTAAAAAAAAAAATTACACATAAAAAAAAAAAGTTCTATGTAAAATACACAGTACTTGCAGGGCTGTCATGTTCAGTAAAACCTATGACTTGTTCTGTGTAGAACTAAGACCAATGGCCGGAAGATAAAAAATGGTAAGTGTTTACCCTAACAGTGTAACAAGAGATGCTCTAAGGTAGTAATTCTTAATGGTGACCCCCAAACCTTTCGTGATGCCTGGAAGCTCTCTCTAGGACTAATATTGGTTGGGTAGAACTGACCTATAGGAAGACTGTTTTAAACTGAAGAGAGAACAGGAAGGAAGGGAGGAAGGGAGGGAAAAAAAGAAAAGAAAGACTTAAGATGGCTTTAAATTTATGCGTGTGTGGTAAAATACATATAATGTTTACTATCTTAACCATTTTTAAGCATATAGTTCAGTGGTATTAAATACATTCACATTATTGTGCAGTCATCACCATCATTCATCCCTGTGACTCTTTTCATCTTGTGAAACGTTATGCCCATTAAGCAGTAACTCCCATTCTCTTTCCTCAGCCCATGGCAACCACCATTCAACTTTCTATGATTTTGACAACTCTAAGTACCTTGTCTTAGTGAAATTATGCGTATTTGTCTTATTGTGACTGAGTTATTTTGCTTAACATAAGTTCTTTAAGGTTCATCCATGTTATAGCATATTGCAGGATTTCCTTCCTTTTTAAGGTTGAAAAAATATCCATTGTATGCATATACCACATTTTGTTTATCCATACATCCTTTGGTGGACATTTGGGTTGCTTCCATGTTTTAGTTATTGTGAATAATGTTGTTGTGAACATGAATTACAAATATCTTTGATACCCTGCTTTCAGTTCTTTGGGGTGTATAGCCAGAGATAAAAAAACCTAGATCATACAGTAATCTGATTTTTAATTTTTTGAGGAACCACCATACTGTTTTCCACACAGCTATACCATTTGATATTTCCACCAACAGTGCACAAGGGTTCCAGTTTTCCACATCCTCACCAATACTTGTTGTTTTCTGTTTTTCTGATAGTAGCCATCCACATAGGTGTGAAGTGGTATTTTGTTACAGTTTTGATTTGCATTTCTCTAATGATTAGTGGTGTTGAGCATCTTTTCATGTGTTTATTGCCATTTGTATATCTTCTTTGGACAAATGTCTATTCGAGTCCTTTGCCAATTTTTGAATTGTTTGTTTGGTTGTTAAGTCTTAGGAGTTCTCTGTATATTATGGATAGCGATCCCTTATCAGATAGATATACGATATGCAGATATTTTCTCCTATTCTGTGAGTTGCCTTTTCACTCTGTTGATAGTGTCTTTGATGCACACAATTTTTAAATTTTCATGAAGTCTAATTTGTCTGTTTTCCTTTTGTAACCCTTGTACCTTTGGTGTCATATCCAAGAAGTCACTGCCAAATCCAGTATTGGAAGCTTTTGTCCTGTGTTTTCTTCTAAGAGCTTTATTGTTTTAGGTCTTACCTTAGACATTTTGAGTTAATTTTTGTGTTTGATGTTAAGGGTCTAATTTCATTCTTTTGCATATGGATACTCAGTTTTCCTGGCACCATTTATTGCAAAGACCATCCTTTCCCCATTGAATGGTCTTGGTACCCTTGTCAAATATTTTACCATACATATGAGGATTTATTTCTGGGTTCTCTATTTCATTGGCCTTTGTGTCTTGCTTTATGAAGATAGCTTTAAACTTAATTTTTCTTTTCCAGCCCAATATATGATCCCTGAGTAATACTTTGTTAGCTATCTTGTGTCAGGCAAATGTGTTTTCAGAATAAACTACTGAGTATATCCCAGGAAAAGGAAAAGTTGAAGAGAAGAGAATCTGTGCTATCTGATATTTAGATTTTTTTTTTTTAAAGATTTTATTTATTTATTTGACAGAGAGAGACACAGCGAGAGAGGGAACACAAGCAGGGGAAGTGGGAGAGAGAGAAGCAGGCTTCTCATGGAGCAGGGAGCCCGATGCGGGGCTCTATCCCAGGGCCCTGGGATCATGACCCGAGCTGAAGGCATACACTTAACGACTGAGCCACCCAGGCGCCCCTTGATACTTAGATTTTTAAAAAATATTTTATTTTTTTAAAGTAATCTCTACACCCAAAGTGGGGCTCAAACTCATGACCCTGAGATCAAGAGTCACATGCTCTACTGACTGAGCCAGCCTGGCACCCCAATACTTAGATTTTTGTGGCCCTTAAATGAAAATAATCTAGACTACGGCACATACAGGTCCTATTATTGTTTCATGTTTTCCTAGTTTGGGTAGATTTTGGAAACTGATAACAGGGAAAGTAAAAATTGAATCAAAAAGTGGTTTGCTTATGGTAACATAGCTAATAATAAGCATTTAGTCAGACACCTGGAGTCTTTTGATTTCCAGTTTATTGTTCTTTCTACTGCATATTGAGCTGCCAGTGGCTTTTTACTGAAATGTTACTATTTTAGCAGGATTTGACTTTAAAATTCTCAGAAAACCCTAAGTTTACTCTAATTGCTAAATGGTGTGACTAAGTATTTCTATTTCTTTTTCCACTTCTATTTTCATTCCAAGTCAAGGGAATTAAAGAGAATGTCTTCATTTTATAGAGCAGGGTTTGGCCAGCTATGGCCCACAGGCTGAATCTGACCCAGAGGTACAGGTAAAAATACCATAAAGCTTTACTGGAACACAATTACTCCTACTATTCATTTATTTATGTATTATCTGTGGCTGCTTTTCTGCTGTGACAGCAGAATTGAATCATTGAAGTGAGATCATATTGTCCACAAAGCCTAAAATATTTACTCTTCAGCCCCTATAGAAAAATTTTGCTGACCCTTAATAATAGAGGAAAAATTTAAAAACAAACATCAAAAACTCTTAGGAAACAATTAGTTAAACCACTGGCAGATTTGAGTTGAGAGCACTGGCTTTTTGAACTTTTCTTTGACTTTAAAATCTAAAAGTGTTAGTTAATTTAAGATCTAATCCTAAATATTAAGTTCTAGATAAATTAATAATTAATAAGAATCTTTTTCAAGTAAAAAACAACTTCACAACTATTTGTTTAGTGCCACGTGTGCATCAGGCAATGGGGAGGAGCTAGAGACGTGAAGTTCTAAACCCTGCCCTTGAAGGAATTAAGGAGAGAAAAATAGAAATGTGCCCCCTCCCTCCATCTTTTAAGTATGACATTGTCAAGTAATGACTTTTTTCTTCTGCTTAGAGACTGCTATGTTCCAGAAGAGGATGTGACTTTCAGAATAATCCTGAATGAGAAGGATGAGTCCAGATGTGCCTCTGCTGAATGATTACAAACAGGACTTCTTTCTGAAGCGCTTTCCGCAGACTGTTCTTGGAGGCCCTCGATTCAAATTAGGCTATTGCGCCCCTCCTTACATATATGTTAATCAAATTATCCTTTTTCTGATACCATGGGTTTGGGGTGGACTAGGAACACTCTTGTATCAGTTGGGCATTTTGGAAGACTATTACACAGCAGCGCTTTCAGGTGGACTGATGCTTTTCGCTGCATTTATCATCCAGTTCACAAGTTTATATGCCAGAAACCAATCGGTGACGGTAGAAAGAATGCTAACCACAGATATCTTAGCAGAGGAAGATGAACATGACTTTACAAGTTGTGCTGGTACTGAGACTATCAAATTTCTAATTCCTGGCAAGAAATATATAGCCAATACAGTTCTTCATTCTTTTCTTGCTGGGTTAATGTGTGGTCTTGGAACATGGTATCTGCTCCCGAAGAGAATATCCCTGCTGTATGGCAGCACAGGAGGCACTGTTCTACTGTTCGTCTTTGGATGGATGACATTATGTATAGGAGAATATTCATTAATTGTAAACACAGCTGCAGAGACTGCGACTTTCCAACCCCAGGATACTTATGAAATCACTCCTCTTACGAGACCTCTTTATATTTTTTCCTTTGTTTCTGTAGATCTTGCACACAGGTAATAAGCTATCGGATACTTTATAACTTGCTTTATTTTTAAGCATTCATAGTATGAGCTCTCCTTAGTATTAAAAAAAGGAATCTATGAATTGAAAGTCATCAAGACCAAACCATTGGATGATAGGTTGTTCTGATGATTAATCTCTTAGGAGTAATCTCTATTAAACATTCATACGAAAGCAGTAATTAAACCTTATTGAAGAGTAAAAAGAAAACCCTTTAAAGGTAGGATAAATAAGCAAAATTTCAATTCTGTGTTTCACTTTCAATAATGAGCTATGAATCTATAAGCTAGCCTGGCTGAGACCTATGAAAAGAGATGGAACTTTCCTATGAGGGTCTAATGAAGAATTTGAAATTTATACACATAAATATTATGTACAGATTGAGTGAATTTAAGATGAATAACTTATTTCTAATTTTGTAGCAACTATACAGAAGGAATATTAATTTTTTTGATTTGCTATAGTAGAAAAATAGAAAATAGAGTTTTTAAACAAAATTGTTTACCAAACTGTTTACAAAATTGTTGGTTAACCCCCTTTGCTTACCTTTTCTAAATCTGACTTTTATTTCTCTGTTTCTATAGATTACAGCTTTCTCTTTCACAGGTTCGTGTCCAGGTAGAAATGTATAGGCATGTAATGAACTGAATATTCATGTCCCCCCTCAAATTCATATGTTAAAGCCCATACCCCAGTGTGTTGGTGTTTGGAGATGGGATCTTTGGGAGGTAATTAGGAAAATGAGGGTGAGACCCTGATCTGATGGGATTAGTGCTCTTTCAAGAAGAGACACCAGAGAGCTTGAGCTCTCTCTTTCTCCACTATATGAGGATACAGTGAGAAGGCTGCTGTCTGCAAACCAGGAAGAGAGTTTTCAGCAGAACCTGACCATGCTGGCATGCTGATCTTGGACTTCCAGCCTCCAGAATAATTTCTGTTGTATCAGCCACCCAGTCTGGTATTTTATTATGGCAGCCCAAGCTGATTAAGATAGATTTTGATACCAAGAGGTGGGTTGCTCCTGTAACAGATACCTAAAAATGTGGAAGTGGCTTTGAAATTGGGTAATGGATAAAGGCTGGAAGAGTTTTGAGGTGCATACTAGAAATACGGACTTAAAGGCATTTCTGGTGAGGTCTTAGAAATGAGAACCTGTTATTGAAAACTGGAGGAAAGGTGATTCTTGTTATCAAACAAGTGGCACAAAACTTGGCTGAACCGCTTTCTAATGTTTTGTGGAAAGTAGAACTTGAGAGTGATGTAATTGGATATAGAGGTGAGGAGATTTCTAAGCAAGTGGTTCAAAGAACAGCTTGATTCCTCCTGACTGCTTATACGAAAGGAGAGATGAGTTGAAGAAGGAATTGATAAGCAAAAATGAACCAGAACTTGAAGGTTTCGAACATTTTTGGCCTATCCATATTGCAAAAAAAAATGAGAAAGCATGTTCTGAAGTGAGCACCAAGAATGTGACTGGACTACCACTAAATAAAGAGTTTATGGGGTTGTATGACGAAAAATACTGCCAATTTCAACGAAAAGGGTCAGAGACAAGAAGAAATGAACTAAGGCTGTTAGACTTTTTAGATTTGACAGGAAAAATGACCCCAAAAGTGATTCAGAGATTGTCAGGGCTACTTCTTTGGTTTCAACAAATTAAAATCTGGAAGACTTGGGGGCTGGTATTGCCCTACAGAGCCTTGGGGGTGGGACCCCCACCTAGAGCTGTTTGGGTGATTATTATTGGCCTGGAGGGCAGAGTATGAAACCAAAGAGGATTCTTTCCCAGCCTTGGGATCTAATGGAATTTGCCTTGCTACATTTTGGACTTCTTTGTAGCATGTCACCCTTTCCTTCTTTCCTGTTTCTCCCTTCTGGAATAAGAGTGTCCATTCTGGGGCTGCCCCACCATTTTATTTTGGAAGCACATAAATTATCTGATTTCACAGGTTCACAGCTGGAGAGGGATTTTGCCTCAGGATCCGGTGTACCTCGAGTGTCACCTATATCTGATTTAGATGGTAGTTAGATAAACTGGACTTTAGAGTTGATGCTGGAATTTGTTAAGACTGTTGGGATGGGATGCATGTATTTTGCATGTAAGAAGAACATGAATTTGGGAGACTGGGGTAGAATGTTAAGGAATAAATGTATGTGCCCCCTCAAAATTCATATGTTGAGGCCCTAATCCCCAATGTGATGGTATTTGGAGATGGGGGTCTTTGAGAGGTAGTTGGGTCATCAGGGTGGTCCTGTTCTAATGGGATTGGTGCCCTTATAAGAAGAGAGACCAGAGAGCTTGATCTCTCTCTTTCTCCACCATGTGAGGATTCAGTGAGAAGTTGACTGTCTGCAAGCCTTGAAGAGTGTTCTCATCAGAACCCAACCATGGTGGCACTCTGATCTTCCTGCCTCTAGAACTATGAGAAATAAATTTCTATTGTTTAAGCCACCTGGTCTGTGGTATTTTGTTATGGCAGCCTAAAATAAGACATTTAAAAATACTTAGCCAGTTTTTGTACTGAAACTGACCTATTCTTTCTTTTTTTTTTTTTAAGATTTTATTTATTTATTTGACAGAGACACAGCAAGAGAGGGAATACAATCAGGGGGAGTGGGAGAGGGAGAAGCAGGCTTCCCACTGAGCAGGGAGCCCGATGTGGGGCTCGATCCCAGGACCCTGGGATCATGACCTGAGCCGAAGGCAGACGCTTAAGGACTGAGCCACCCAGGCGCCCCTGAAACTGACCTATTCTTAAGGGGCCATTTGCTATTCCTTAAATCTTAATTTCTTCTAGTTGTGCTACATTTATGGACCAGAGGACACTATAATATCCTTGTTGTTCTTCACCTAATCAAATATGTAAGGGGAGAATTAGTTTATGGGAAATTCAATTATAATGGGTTTGTTAGTACCACTACCATTTACTAGTCGTAAAATATACTACAGTTAAATACTTGGTTTTGAAAAGTTAGCAGTAAATTTGAGTATATATATATGTATATATATATATATATATATACACATTCATCCCCTTCTAAAAGATTTGAGTTTGTAAGATTATTTTCAGAATTGGGGCACCTGGGTGGCTCAGTTGGTTGAGCGACTGCCTTCGGCTCAGGTCATGATCCTGGAGTCCCTGGATCGAGTCCCATATCGGGCTCCCCGCTCAGCGGGGAGTCTGCTTCTCCCTCTGATCTGCCCCCCTCTCATGTGCTCTCTCTCTCTCATTCTCTCTCTCTCAAATAAATAAATAAAATCTTTAAAAAAAAAAAGATTATTTTCAGAATTTAGATTCTTGAGTTACTGTCTCACTGTGCTATTTTTGAAATCAGAAATTATATACCTGCTATAATACATCTTTGCATTTAAAATGATGCCCTAGGTTCTTTAATTTTTAAAAAATCTGTTAACTTATAATTTGGTTACCTTGACTTTCTGTATTACTCATTTCTAAATGAAAGAACATTAATTTTTTTTACTGATTCTAGTTGAATTTAATATACAGTTTTAATGTTTACAGTTTGATCATTACAAAGAGTTTTCTTTTTCAACTAAAAGGAGAAGACAAAAGCAAGCCCAAATCTATTTTTATAGAAAAAGATGACATGTTTGTTCAGAACAATTACCTCCCACTTGACTTACGATGTACTATATGTTGGCCAATTGAATTTAAATTAAAAAAAAATTTGGTCAACAAAATAAGAATCAAGATGATCTTTATATAGTAGGTATGATACTGCAAATACATGTGAAATGTATGCACTGTTTAAGTTTGGACAGTTGTCAAATATATCAAATTGTGTCTTAATTTTATTTCAGAGAACGTAAAAGTTGAAGAGACAAGCCTCACAGTATAATAATTTCTCTTTCCCCATTCTTTATTTTACCCAGTTCACTTGTGTGTTAAGAATTTTAAATGACTTTTCTGTGCATTTTCACTAAAGACAGGCGTTAAACCTATAAGTGCTTAGTTCATAGACTCTCAGGAATTGTTTCAATGAATGATGCATATTTATGTCATCTTAGCCACAATAAACATCTTTTTTTCTGGGCATGTGTATTTCTGGGCATGTGGATCTTAGTGAGTATACAGATTTGGAATGTTTTTAAGGTTGTTAGATTCAAACAAAGTTTTTTTCTTGAGAGCTTAGATATTTTGCCCTAGAAAATTCATGTTACATTATCAGAAATAGAATTCAAACATATTTTCCATATAAAAGACTTAACCACAATAACCATATTATTTGACCCTGAGTCATACAGGAAAGTGATCAAAATGTTTGGTTGCTTAAATTACATAGACTTGTATTTGTGTGTGATATTCTTGTATATAAATAGATTTTCTATGTCATTACTTAAGAACAAAAAGATTTGGGGAGGTTTAATCGAACTTGGGTAAAATATTTCTTGAGTATACATTATTTTTACACAAATTATACTATCCTTGAATATATTAGAAAGAGAAATGTTAACAGTCTTTAACAAAAATAACTGTAGATCTGCATGTTTTCCTTGACCTTCCTGCAGTTTACTGTGTGTGGTTTGATTTTCCGCTTTGGTGCTTGAGTATTTTCTTCCCAGAATGAAATGTATTTTAAAACTACATTACAAAAAATATTGTCCTCTAATTTAGCATCACATTGTTAACCTTGTATTCATTAATTCTCTGCTTACAAAAATTTGAAGGACATATATTATGAGACAGTGCATTAGCTGACATAGTCCTGATATCTGTATGAGCAAACACATTATGTCATTATTATATCCATAGTTGCTATACATTTGCTTCTGGGCTGTTAACATACACTTAAGTGGGTAATTATTACAGGAGGTGCCTTCTCCTTGACTTTGATTCCTAACAGCTCAGGTATTCAAGTATAATTACGTTACAAGTTTTGAGATTTAGTTTTCTCTTTTGCAAGTTATCTTTGGAACATTGTAAGTATTAGGACATTACTGGTTTCCAGACAAAGTGTGTGGTTAGCTTTATTCCAAAAAAAAAAATAGTAATATATTGATAGTGCTTATTCTTCTATGCTTTAAGTTTTTATTAAATTATTTAAAACCATATAATACTGTATTTAACTGGTAAGTGCTATACCAAGAACCAATTTTTCCACTTTATAGAAGCCATCTCTAATTTATGAGATTGTATTTTACAGGTTTGTATTCTCAAATCCATACCATTATTTATATAAAATAAAAACAATATTATAAATGGCTAGTTAAGTTCCCAGGCTAACCCACAGAGACATATTCATAACCTAATGTTGCTTACTTCTGATATGAATTATACTGACTTCAAATTCTGGGACCTGGGGTTAAGACAGTATGGGCGGGGAGAGGATATAGTAGGAGAACAAGAAGAGGTCTCTTTGCTAGCTACTAATAGTAAGAACATCAAGAAGGCTTTGGCTTTCCCAGAGTCACTTACAATTTTAAATTAGAAAATTTTAAACTTTAGGGGCGCCTGGGTGGCTCAGCCGTTAAGCGTCTGCCTTTGGCTCAGGTCATGATCCCAGGTCCTGGGATCGAGCCCCGCATCGGGCTCCCTGCTCCACGGGAAGCCTGCTTCTCCCTCTCCCACTCCCCCTGCTTGTGTTCCCTCTCTCACTGTGTCTCTTCCTGTCAAATAAATAAATAAAATCTTTAAAAAAAAAAAAAAGAAAATTATAAACTTTGAAGAATCATTGCTAGAATTTCAGCCAATGTAGTTTAGACAATCAAGGGTGAAATATTTTTACTCTGGGCTCAGTTCAGTTTTACAAATCCCTAAATTCAATTTTATTCAGTAAATTGCTTTTAATTACTTCTTCCTTCTTTCCACATTTGAATCCACATATTTTCTAAGTGCTAATCTCATAGACAATTGAGTAGGGGTAGTTGCTGATAAGAGGGAAAGACAATGGTCACAATTTATAAATGTTGGTCTTTCGCAGTTTGGGACTAGGATCTTTTTGTAAATGTTCCTTTGTTTCAGGGAGTGGGTTGCATGTGTTGTTTTGTTTTCCCTGGGAAGATACTCTTCTGAATATTATTTGGTATGATTTAAATGTTTCCTTTTTCTTACAGGTTTATGGTAAATATACCAGCTCTAGAACAAGTGAATCAGATTTTACACATCTTGTTTATATTTCTACCCTTTCTGTGGGCACTCGGGACTCTGCCCCCACCTGATGCACTTTTCTTATGGGCAATGGAGCAGGTTTTAGAGTTTGGCCTTGGAGGCTCATCTATGTCAACGCACCTACGGTAATTATTTTAAGTATTAAAGTTCTGCATAACTTAAAGTACAATTTTCCTTTTTGAGCAAATCTTTCTTTTTCTCTGCAGGTTATTACTAATGTTCATCATTTCTGCTGGAACAGCTGTAACATCATATTTCATTCCCAGCACTGTTGGTGTGGTTCTTTTCATGACGGGACTTGGGTTCTTACTGAGTCTTAACCTAAGTGACGTGGGTCTTGCCTTCAAACACAGTGTGACTAGACACAGAGTTGGAACCAAATCTAAGCCTTTACCCAGTGATTCAGAAAAACAGTTTACTTGGAAGGAATGCCTTTTCTACATCATCATATTAGTCTTGGCTCTCATAGAAACTAGTTTGCTGCATCATTTTGCTGGTTTCTCACAGATTTCCAAAAACAGTCCTCAGGCTATTGTTGGCTATGTTTTGATGATACTGCTTATAATACTGTGGATACTTAGAGAAATTCAGAGTGTCTGTATCTTTGGAATTTTCCGAAACCCTTTCTATCCAAAGGATGTGCAAACTGTGACTTTATTCTTAGAGAAGCAAACAAGGCTTGTGAAGATTGGTGTTGTCAGACGGATTTTGCTAAATCTAGGTAAGAACATAAAATCTACTAACTTTGTGTTATATCTAGGAAGTATGTAAAACTATTGAATTCCCATATTTTTGCAATGTATAGCATACAGGCATTTACTCTTTTATGTTTTGGTTTATTATTTTTTTCAGTTAACTGCTTAAATGTGCTCATAAAAATCATATTAGCCAAAGTAAAATATGGTAGAAGAGGTTACTTTGCCTTAATTAGTCTATTTTTTGTGTTTGTCCTAGTGTCACCCTTTGCTATGATCGCATTTCTTTCATTGGACAGTTCCTTACAAGGGCTCCACTCTGTGTCTGTCTCCATTGGATTCACGAGAGCTTTTAGAATGGTAATCCTAATAAGCACTTAATAGTATTTTTTGTATTGCTAAGTTGAATTGCAGTTTTGCTTATCCTACCAGTTTACTGAAATTTGTCAAATTCTACCTGATAATTTGTGTACTGCAGGTGTGGCAGAATACAGAAAATGCTTTATTGGAGACAGTCACTGTATCAGTAGTACACTTGTTGATCTCTAGTACAGATGTGTGGTGGAACAGAAGCCTGGATACGGGAATCAGACTCTTACTGGTAAGCATATGCTCTATTAGCTTTATTGAGATGTATTTCACATACCATAAAATCATCCACTTACACAGTTCAGTAGTAGACAGAATTTTACTGCCATCACCACAGTCTAATTTTAGACCATTTTCAACATCCCAGAAAGAAACCTCACGCACATCAATGTCCTTCCCTGTTTCCACTCTCCATCCCACCCACCCCCCACTCCAGCCCCAGCAACCATTAATATACTTTTGGTTTCTTTGGTTGATTTATTTATCAGATGATGGGTTTTTAGGTTGCTTTTACTTTTTGATTATTCTGAATAATGCTGCTATGAACATTTGTGTACATGTTTTTGGACATTTGTTTTTTGGACATATGGTTTCATTTCTCTTAACTATATCTACCTAGGACTGGAATTTCAGTCCATAGTAAGTCTATGTTAACACCTCAAAGTACTGCCAAACATTTTTCCAAAGTGGTTGTACCATTATACATTCCCACCAACAATGTCTGAGGATTTCTCTACATCCATACCAACACTTGTTATTATCTAACTTTTTCATTATACTCATTCTGGTGGGTGTGACCTGCTATGTCATTGTAATTTTGATTTGCATTCCTTAAATGCTAATTAATCATCTTTTCATAAATTTATTGGCCATTTGTGTATGTTTTTTGGAGAAATGTCTATTCAGATCCTTTGTCCATTTTATGTGGCTTGCCCTTTTATTGTTGGTTTAAGAGTTCCTATATATTCTGGATACAAGTTCCTTGACATATATATGATAAACAAAAATTTTCTCCCATTCTGTAGGCTGTCTTTCTCCTTCTTGGTAATATCCTTTGAAGCAAAAACAGTTTTTAATTTTGGTGAAGTTCAATTTATCTCTTTTTTCTTCCACTGCTTGAATTGTTGGGGTCATGTCTAATAAACACTGCCTATTCCCAAATCATAAAGATTTACTGTGTTTTCTTCTAAGAGTTTTACAGTTAAAACTGTAACTACTACATTTGGGTCTATGATCTACTTTGAGTGTATTTTTGTATATGATATGAGGTAGGTTTCCAAATCCATTCTTTTATATATGGATATACAATGGTCCCAACACCATTTATTGAAAGAACTACCCTTCCCTCGATGACTTTTCTTGGCACCCTGTTCAAAAATCAAATGACAGATGTGAGAGTTTATTTCTGGACTCTCAGTTCTTTTCCATTTATCTGTATGTCTGTCCTTATGCCAGTACTATCCTATCTTTATTACTATACTTTGTAGTAGGTTTTGAAATCGGGAAGTATGTCTTCCAACTTTGTTCTTCTTTTTTAACATTGTTTTGACTCTTTCAGTGCCTCTCTATTACAATGTAAATATTAGTTTTAGCTTTTAAGTTTGTGCAAGAAGGCATCTGAAACTTTGATAGAGATTACCTCAAATGTGTAGATCAATTTGGGGAGTATTGCCATCTTAAAAATGTTAATTGTTCCTAACCATCAATATGACATGTCTTTATATTTTTTTTAAGATCTTTATTTCAATAATGTTTTGTAGTTTTCAGTGTTACAAGCCTTACACTTTTATTAAATTTTTCGTAAGTATATTATTCTTTTTGATATTATAAATGAAATTGTTTTCTTAATTCACTTTCTGGCTTGTTTATTGCTAGAGTATAGAATACAATTGATTTTTTAAAATAGTAATCTTGTGTCCTAAAACCTCACTTCTATTAGTTCTGGTAGATTATTAGTAGATTTTTTTAAGACATTCTGTGTATAAGATCACATCATCTGCAAATTAGAGATAGTAGAGATATTTTTATTTCTTCCTTTTCAATCTAGATGTCTTTCCTCTCTTTTTCTTACCTACTTGCCCTGGCCTGAACCTCCAGTATAATGCTGAATAGAAGAGTGGACATCTTAAAGGGAAGCAGTCAGTCTTTCTCCATTAAGTTGATGTCAGTCTTTTACCATTAGATATGATATCAGCTATTGTAGATGTTCTTTTTTTTTAAGAAGGTTTTTTATTTATGTATTTGTCAGAGAGAGAGAGAGAGAGAGAGCACAAGCCAGGGGAGCAGCAGGCAGAGGGAGAAGCATGTTCCCCCCTTAGCAGGGAGCCCAGTGTGGGACTCGATCCCAGGACCCTGGGATCATGACCTGAGCCAAAGGCAGAGGCTTAACCGACTGAGCCACCCAGGTGTCCCTATTGTGGATGTTCTTTACCAGGTTGAAGAAGTTCCCTTCTATTTCTGGTTAGTCTTTTTATCATGAAGGGTGTTGGATTTTGTCTGATGTATTTTCTATGTCTATTGAAATGGTCATGTGGTTTTTGTCCTTTAATCTGTTAACATGGTATAATACATTGATTTCTGGTTGTTAAACCAACCTTGCATTCTAGAACTAAATGCCATTTGGTCATGGTGTATGATCCTGCTTATGTGTTACAAGATTTGACTGGCTGGTATTTTTGTGTGATTGATATTTATATGTATCTGTAGCTTTCTTTTCTTGTCATGTCTTTGGTTTAGATATAAAAATAGCCCTGACCTCATAAAATGAGTTAGGAATTTCATACTAATTATTCTTAAATGTTTGATCATATTTCGTATGTACCTTAAATATTTTGTGGTATGTAGTATTTTGTAATATGGAAGCCATCTGAGCCTCAGCTTTTCTCTGTGAGTAGCTTTTAAATTACAAATTCAATTTCTTTTTACAGGTCTGTTTAGTTTTTCTATTTCTTCTTGAGTTGCTTTATGTTTTTCAAGGAACTTGTTGGTTTCATCTAAGTGATCAAATTTATCAGCATACAGTCATATTATTCTCTTATAATCCTTCTAATTTTTTTCTGTTAAGATTGGTGGTATAAAGTTATCTCTTTCATTCCTGACTTTAGTAATTTGAATCTTCTCTGTTTTATTCTTTGTCATTGTAGCTAGAGGTTTCTCCATTATATTGATCTCAAAAAAAACCAGCTTTTGGTTTCATTGATTTTCTCTATTGTTTTTATATTCTCTATTTTATTAATTTCTGCCCTAATCTTTATTATTTCCTTCCTTCTGCGTACTTGAGGTTCAGTTTGTGCTTTGTTTTCTAGTTTCTCTGGTTTCCTAAGGTGGAAGATTAGGTTATTGATTTAAGATCTTTTTTCTATATAGGCATTTAAAGCTAGCTATAAATTGCCCTCTGAGCACTGTTTTAGCTGAATCACAAGTTTTGGTATGTTGTGTTTTTGTTTCATTCATCTCAAAATGTTTTCTCATTTTTTTGTGTGATGTCTTTGACCCATTGGTTATTTAGCAGTGTGTCTTTTAATTTCTTTTTTGGTAAGATTTTATTTTTAAGTAATCTCTACACCTAACACGGAGCTCAAACTTACAACCCCAAGATACTCTACCAACTGAGTCAGCCAGGCACCCCAGCAATGTGTCTTTTAATTTCAAGATTCCTTTATTATTTTTTATTTCTATTGTTGATTTAATTCTGTTTTGGTTAAAGAACATACTTTGCATGATATGTATGAACATACTTATATTTCAGTCTATTAAGATCTGTCTTATGACCTCTGTTTCTTAATCTATAAAATACTTTCTAAAATAAGGATGAATTAAGGATAGTTAACTATTTACCACTTCTGGTTCTCATGACCTAACAAGCATATAATGCAAAAGTTAGTCAGCCTTAAGATATCCTAGTACTCTGTTGGTTCTCTTTGGCATTACTTTTTTTCTAAGAGAGCCCAAACTTTTAAAAATGTAGACTCATTTATTACTTGTGAGGTTGGAGAAAATTATAACAAAGAATCTCATATAAGGGCTATTTCCTCAAAAATATTGCAGCAATAATAATATACAGTTTTCCTTATATGATCTTGAAAATTCATGAAGTCTTTCAGAATAAAAAAAATCATTTTTACATCTCTACAGGTTGGTATCATGCGTGATCGTCTGATTCAGTTCATCTCTAAGCTGCAGTTTGCTGTGACCATACTTTTGGCATCGTTGACTGAGAAAAAACGTCGAAAGTCAACCACCACTTTATGTATACTCAACATTGTCTTCTCTCCATTCGTGCTGGTCTTCATCGTTTTCTCTACGCTGCTCTCCTCTCCCTTACTCCCCCTCTTCACCCTTCCTTTGTTCTTGGTGGGCTTTCCCCGACCTGTTCGGATTTGGCCGGGAGCAGTGGGTGCCACAGCCTGCGTGTGTGCAGACACAGTGTACTACGCCCACATGGTCCCACGTCTGACCGCTGCGCTGCAGGCTGCAATGGCCACTGGGAGTTTAGGTAAGTAAATGGGTTGTGCTTAAAAAATCCTCACGAATACATTTAAAATACAAAAAAGTGAATATACAGAAGAAGTCTTTTGATCCAACCATTATATAGATTCTACTACTTTGATAGATGGCAGAAGGACTATGAAATAGAAGTATCTCTCTTGCTTCTTATTTTGAGGTAAATAAAGTCATAAAAATAGTAAGGGGAAGTTTCATTAGGGTGATTTGACATTTTTTAAAGAAGATTTTCTTGAATAAAATCAGGTTATAGTCCCACCACTGAACCATGAAAACACCTTATTCTCCCCAAATTTCCATGAATTTATAGTGAGTTCACTGCAAGTAGATGCAATGGCTTAGGTCCATAAATAGTAAAAACTAGCTTTATATAATATCAGATTGAAGGACTTAAGGGAGTTTGTTCGTATCTTATTAGGTACCGTATAGCAACCTAAGCAGTCTGACAAGGGTACAGGGCAAGGTAACAAAAGCTGTGGTCAATGATCAGTAGCCTCTCAAAATGAAGTACTATGCAAGTATCAGCAAGAAAATTTATTTTTTTTATGAGGATGAACTAATTTTATAAGTCAATGCTTTCATTGTATGCTAACTACAAATTCAACTATATTGTACTTCTTGAGGTTGGTTTTAAATAATGCCCAAGCTGATGACAGTAGTATGTTGTCTCCTACCATATGCCTTAGCCCTTGAAACTTGTTTTAGAAATACCCAGTGACACCTTGGCAAACCAGTTCCAGGTAGAATAGCAATTTCAAATTAGAATTTTAATGAAATGCTTACTTGGATTGAACTTTTCTAATTATCTCTTTGTTATCTAAATGTGTGAGGTAATTTAGGAAAAACTTTGTAGTACAAATTTTTTAATGAGTAATCATTTTTCTTTCTCATAGAAAATATTCTACACTTTTAATCTTTTCATCCAGTTCTAATTAATGTTTATTATATAATACTATGTCACTTGTAAAAATACCTGTGAGGTTTGACTTATATCTAAAGTAATAAATACCTGAGGTAGAAATTATACTTTATTATCAAATCAATTACACTCAGCCAAGAAGTGTGTTATGAAGTATCCCTGGGGGGAAAAAAAACAGTGAGATAACATTTCACACATATCTGGTTGGCAGAAATGTAAAAGTCTGACATTACCAAGTATTGGCTAGGGTATGAGGAACAGGAACTTTTCACACCCTGCTGGAAGGGAATATAAATTTGTATAATAAATACACCTTGAAGAGTAAACTAATAGGCTGTAGTAAAGGTGTACGTATCCCATGGCCTAGGGATTCAGTTTTAGATTCCATAATTCTAATTAGATTCTAATTCTAGAGAAACTTTTGCACATGTGTTTTGGGGGTCTCCAAGCCCATATCCAGGTTTGATGATTCACTAAGAGGACTTGCAGAGCTCAATATACATTTGTACTTGTGGCTACGATTTATTATAGTGAAAGGACGCAGAACAAAATCAATGAAGAGAAAAATTACGTGGGGTAAAACATGGCGCAAACTTCCAGATGTCCTCTCCCAATGGAATCACACAGAATATGCTTAAATCCCCAGCCACACATTGTCACAACATGTGTGATATGGTGGCTACCAGAGAAGTTTATTTGAGACTCAGTGCCTAGGGCTTTTATTGGGGCATGGTCACGTAGGCACCCTCTGCCTAGCGTGTACCAAGATTCCAGACTCCCAGAAGGAAAGCAGGTGTTCAGTATAAACTGTATTGTTTGTACAAACTGTTTGGACACAATGAGACTTTTATCAGGAAGGGTGGTGAGAATTCTTCCGAAACTCAAGTTCCCAGATGCCAGCCATCAACCAACTTTGCAAACAGGACTTTTAAAGGGTAGCAGTCAGTTCTGCTATGCTAACTCTTTACTGTACAGCATGTTGTCTAAGCAGACTTGCACAGAGGTAATCCCTGCAGTATTATGTAAAACAGAAAAAAAATTGGCAATATATGGAATGTGTTTATTAATGAGAAATGAATATTCAAATTTAGCTGTAATCATACAATGAATTCTCAATTGTAGGTACGAGTGACTTGAGCTATTTGCAGTCAACATGCTCAGATCTCAGAGATGTAATGTTGAGAGAAAACTAATTTTTTAAAGTTTTTGTATAGTGTGGTAGTAGCATTTTATGTAAATTTTTAGTACACAAAACATTTTTGTATGTGTGTTCATAAAAAATGTCCAAAATGCTTTAAATAAATAATTAATTTGAAGTTGGCTTTTATACATTTTTTACATTTAGTACTTTTATACTTTTCCTACTGTATTTAGGATTTTATATAGCAGGTTCTAATTTGTTGTTTCTCTGGAAAATATATCCTTGAATTTTTATGTAGTATTACCTATAGATTTTCTCTTTTAACTGTTCCTATTCCTGTAAAGAGCTTAATTTAATGCCCCCTGATATGCAATGAATAATTGTTTTTATTCTTGACATAGAGAATAAAAGTAGCTATGAGTCAGTTCCAAGTGTCTTATCAGTTTTGAAGATTCACATGGCAAAATAAAACAAGCTTGAATATTACTTACTTTTTCTTTTTTCTAATTTGTTTTAGGTCTCCTCTTACCTGGGTCTCATTACTTGGGCCGTTTTCAGGATCGTTTAATATGGATAATGATTCTAGAATGTGGTTATACTTACTGCTGTATTAACATTAAGGTCAATGTACATTTGAAACCTCTCTAGTATTTTTATAGCACATGTGTAAAATTTTACCTGTTATAGACACATCATACACTTAAGAGCTCAACTTAAGAGTATCAAGTAATTACCTGTGAAAACACCTAGGGATTTTTAAAGTGTATTTCAGTATGCACATATTGATAGGTAGACTAGTGTTGATTGTATAATAGAGCATAGTAACAAAATGTAGCTGCCCCCTTTTTGTCCAGGCTTGTTCTTTATATCCTTATCTAGTTGTGCATCTCAAAAGTGTGACTCAGTAATATTTTTTCACTCCTATATCACATAAGCATTCTCAACTTAATAAAAAACCTCTTCTGATCCTTACTACCCTACCTGCTACACCATGTCTTTCTCCTCTTTTTAAAGCAAGATGCCTTAATAGAATTGCTTATAATCAAATCTCAAATTTCATTTCTCTCATTTTCTCTTCAACTTACTCTGTTTTTGACCCTGGTACCTATTACTGTACCAAAACTACTCTTGTCAGCGTCTCTAATAACTATCACATTGCCAGATCCAATGATCAGTTCTCAGACCTGGTCTTATTTGACCTGTTTGCAGCATTTGACACAGTGCCTTCTTTTAGCTTGTTTCATGGGTCAGTCCTTGTCAGTCTCCTTTGATGGCTCCCTCTCTTTTCCTTGACCTCTTTTTTTTTTCTTTAAGATTTTATTTATTAGAAAGAGAGAGAGCACGATAAAGGGGGAGAGGGAGAAGCAGCCTCCCCACTGAGCAGGGAGCTAGAATCAGGGCTCAATCCCAGGACCCTGGGATCATGACCTGAGCCCAAGGCAGACACTTAACCGACTGAGCCACCCAGGCGCTCCTTTTTTCCTTGACCTCTTAACATCAGACTACCCCAGAGCCTAGCAGTCCTTGGTGACAACTCCATCCTTCTGGTTGTTCAGCCCCAAAACATTTGGGCTTTAGTTCAGTGATAGTTCACTCCTGTTTACCTTCATACCCCATATGCAGTCCAACAAGAAATCCTGTTGGCTCTGTCTTTAAGCCATATCCTATATCCCACCACTTCTCACCACCCTACTATTAGCTATCTTTATCTCTTTCCTGGGTAATTGCAATACCGCCTAATTGGTCTCCCTGCTTCTTTCTACCTGTGCCTCCCTATAGTCTGTTCTCAACTAGAGTGATCTTTAGTATCTAACTCATTTCATGTCACTTCTCTACTCAAAACCCTACAATGGATCTCTTTTTTAATTCAGAGTAAAAGCCAAGGCCCTAAATGGTCAGGCTCTCTATTTCCTCTTGGCCTCATCTACTGCTTGAATCCTCTCACTCTACTCCAGCCTACTGGCTATTCTCTCTACCTGGAATGCTCTTCCTTCACATAACCACACAGCTAACTCCCTTACCACCTTCAAGTCTTTGCTCAAATGTTACCTCAGTGAAATCTACTATTGCTATCCTATTTAAAATTGTATTCCCACTCCCTTTCTGGCACTCCCAGTCCTCCTTGGCTGGCTTTACTTTTTCTATTTTTCTAGCACTTATACCTTCTAACAAACTATATAATTTACTTATTTTCGTTGTTGAATGTCTGTGTCCCTTTACTCTATAATGTAATTGTCACAAGGGCAGGGATCTCTGAAGGGATATATCCTAAGCCCCTGGAACAGTGTCTGGCACATAATAGGCCCTTGATAAATATTTGTTGAATGAATAGTGGTGAATGAATGAATTTTTTGTCTTAGCACAGATGGGATAAAATTGCTGGTGACTAATAGGCTTTTTCTTTAGCTCAGTGGTTCTCAAAATTCAGTTCTCCAGATTAGGAATATTAACATCTCCTGGAGCTTATTAGAAATGGACAATCTTGGGTACCACCTCAGATCTTCTGAATCAGAAACTAGAGGAGGGCCCAGCAACCTATGTTTTAACTACCCTCCAGTGATTCTGACTCACCTAAAGTTTGAGAACCTGGTCTAACCTGTATAAGTAAGAGAAGGCAAAATCTCATGCAAAATATTGAGGGCATAATAAAAAAAAAATGTTTAAAAAATATTGAGGGCATTTTCATTGCTTAATTTAGGCTCTATTTTTAAAATGGTATATTTTATAATGCCTAATAATGTGGGTCCTTTACTGATCTTTTGTGCTCTATTATATGTGTAAAGACACACTTTTTGATGACGGTCCTTTTTTCTTTTCATTTTTTTGGACACAAGGTGGCTTAGCAGTACCATCTTACCATCATTTATATGTTATGTGCTTTAAAGTTTACAAAGCACTTTTTTAAAATTTATTTATTTATTTTTTAAATTTTATTATGTTATGTTAGTCACCATACAATACATCATTAGTTTTTGATGTGGTGATCCACGATCCATTGTTTATTTATTTTTAGAGAGAGATTGTGAGGGGGGAGGGGCAGAGGGAGAGGTTGAGAGAATGTGAAGCAGGCTCCATGCTCAGTGCAGAGCTGGATGTGGGGCTTGATCTCACAACCCTGGAATCTTGACCTGTGCCAAAATCAAGAGTCCGATACTTAACTGACTGAGCCACCCAGGCACCCCAACAAAGCACTTTTATTACTTAAATCTTCACAACCTTATGTGCTAGGATTAGTTTTCTTTGAAAGAGAAAAGGAATCTCAGGATAAGTGATCTACTCAAGATTGTGTGCAAACACCTGGTAAAGAGCCATGATTTAAAAATGGCTTCTGATGTTCACATTCCATGTTCTTTCTCTGGATCCTAATACAACCTGACAGCAATGTCTTTTATTAAAGACACTGGTAATTTTGTAAAAATGTATAAATAAGTAAACAATGATAGCAATAATAATAGTAAACAGTGATCTGATGCATCCTCTTCAAGTGATTCCTTATAAAGAAGTAATAAAAATGTGTTTAAAATTCACATAAAAACACATTCAGGGGTGCCTGGGTGATGCAGTCGGTTGTGTATCAGACTCTTGGTTTCGTCTCGGGTCATGATCTCAGGGTCATGGGATTGAGCCCTGCATCGGGCTCCGCACTGGGCACAGAGTCTGCTTGGGACTCTCTCCCTCTCCTACCCTTACGCCCCTCAAATGATAAATCTTTAAAAAATAAATAAAAACACATTCATGGTGTTCATTCTATCAACATATATTTGTTGCATACCAGTACTGTGTCAAGGACTGGCTTAGGCACTGCAGACATAGTAGTAACCAAAAGAGAGCTGCTTTATGGAATTTACATTATAGTTGGAGGAGACAGACAGTAACCAAATACATAAATCTGTATGATGATAATGTTATTATAATTAAAAAACTGGAACAAGAAAATGATTGAATAAATTATGGCATATCCGTACAGTATAATAATGCTGTCATATAAAGTAGGATACAAAACTACTGTATATGCTACATCATTCCAATTTTGCCTTTGCCCTCCAAAAAAATTTTGTATTTAAAACAGTTTTGGGGGACACCAGGGTGGCTCAGTCAGTTAAGCATCTGCCTTCAGCTGGGGTCATGATCTCAGGATCCTGGGATCAGGCCCTGCCTCAGGCTCCCTGCTCAGCGGGAGCCTGCTTCTCCCTCTCCCTCTGCCACCCTCCCTGCTTGTGCTCTCTCACTCTCTCTCCCTCTGTCTCTGTCAAATAAATAAATAAAATCTTAAAAAAAAAGTTTTTTGTAAGTGTGATTCAACCTTCACTATACATACAGTCTTTCAAAATTATGGTCATAGCCAATTAAATTGTTTTGCCAATTTCTAGCGGCATGTCTATAATTTCTTTTAAGATAGCATAATTTTTCATCTCTGTATGCAGCATCAAGTGTGTTAAAGTGCCAGTAAGTTTGAGTAAAGGTGTAGCTCTTCAGTTAAAGAAATTTTTTTGCATTTTCCATATTTTCATTATGAGAATCCAACCCATGGGCATATACAAAAGTAGTTGCTTTTCTCTGTGTAATAAGTGATCATAAGCTCAAGGACCTCTTATTTCTTCTTCAGGGGCTAGAATTGCAAGAGACATCCTGTCATACTGCTGAAGCTCAAAGAGTTGATGAAGTTTTTCAAAGTGCCTTTGAACAAGAATATTCAAGAATATGTCCTCTGAATGAACACTTTGGAAATGTCTTGACACCCTGTATTGTTTTGCCAGTAAAACTCTATTCTGATGCCAGGAATGTTCTATCTGGCATAATCGATTCTCATGATAGTTTAAAAGAATTTAAAGGTGACCTTATCAAAGTACTTGTGTGGATACTCGTCCAGTACTGCTCCAGAAAGCCCAGCGTGCAGGAGGTTGTTCACAAAACTGAAAATAAAGGGAAAGCATCTCTAATAATCCTGCCTGCTTTGAATGCTTCACCACAAACCCAATCCCCAGAAGACACAGATAGTTTAAATTCAGAAATTTTGGATGATTGGTCTGATGATAATGTTTTTGGTGATGAGCCAACTATCAGAAAAGGAAAAGAAGAAAAAGATCAATTAAAAGTTGTATCAGGTATAAATTTGCCTATTCCAGGATCAGTAGAATCACAGGGGGTTGGTGATCATTCTATAGGCACAGTTCCTGAAAACAGTCTTTACAAGTCAGTTATATTGGGATACCCTGTTGTTGACAAAGGAAAACAAAAAGATGTGGCATATATCCCTCTCGTGGAATTCAGTTGTTCTCATTCTCACTTGTTAAGCTTACCTGAAGAGTGGACATCTAACTGTTTGCCTAATTCCAAAATGAGGGAGATGAGCTCATTATTTCCAGAAGAGTGGTACCAATTTGTTTTAAGGCAGTTGGAATGTTTTCATTCAGAACAAAATGCTTCAAATGTACTGGAAGAAATTGCAAAGGACGAAGTTTTAAAAGACTTTTATGTTCATGCAGTAATGACTTGTTATTTTAGTTTATTTGGAGTAGACAATATGGTTCCCAGTCCTGGTCATATATTGAGAGTTTACAGTGGTGTTTTGCCTTGGTCTCTTGCCTTGGATTGGCTCACAGAAAAGCCAGAACTGTTCCAGCTAGCACTAAAAGCTTTCAGGTAATTCATTTTGATTATACATAAACTATGACTGACAGAAAAATATTGATTTTTTTTAACCTAGAAGGACATACGTCTTCATTTCTAACTACAGAAAATAATCACTTTACTAAAAATGAAAAAAAAAATGCTTAGTGTGTACTGTGAGTATATCAGGAGTACATTTTAATTTCTACTTCCTTTTTATTTATGTGGAGAACCTATTTTTCATATGGCTTACTGGATTTCTTCACTTTCACTTCACTCCACCATTTCTCCCTGATCTTTTTATCTGAAATATGTATGATTTTAGTGCAATGTCTTACAAATATCGATTGAACAAACTATTCATCTATAAAGTTGATTTTATAAATTTTTAAAAAAATTCTAAAGTTCTTTGTTTCTCCATTTTCAAGGTATACTCTGAAACTAATGATTGATAAAGCAAGCTTAGGTCCAATAGAAGACTTTAAAGAGCTGATTAACTGCCTTGAAGAATATGAAACTGACTGGTACATTGGTTTGGTATCTGATGAAAAGTGGAAGGAAGCAATTTTACAAGAAAAACCATACTTGTTTTCTCTGGGATATGACCCTAATATGGTAAGGTTAAAAATGTGTTTTTAAACATTTTCATATATTGACCTTAAAGAACTAAAGTATTTGAACTAAGTGTAAGTGATAGAACATTCTGGATATATTAATCGTATCATTAAGGCATTTTGTGACTTTATGGCCAACAGAGTACAATCCTAGAATGACTGATTATTTACTTTTGCAAACCTAATATGAGCTCATTAAAAATGTGTAGCCATTGTGCAGTAACTGACCTATAAGATAACCAAGTAAACTCAATTTTCTATAACATCTTTGACTGAATGGATTATATTCCTATGCCAAATTTGAGTCATGAATTATCACCTTGGATTTGACTCCTAGAAGAAAAATTATAAGTGGCAAAATATTCCTTTTGCTGATATCAGTGTTTTATCTGAAGCAAATCTGACCTGTGAAAATTCAGAGACTCCAAATAGGGAATAACTTTTTTTTTTTAAAGAAATTAGTAGCTGTTCTCATTACGTTTAAACTGTCATCAGGTGTGCACAATGTGATTCAATGTTACACGCTCATTGTAGGTTTCATATCTGGCATTGCAGCTCCATAGATGTGCTCCCCATCAAAAATAATGAAAGTTGGTTTTAAAAAACAACCATTTAAAGACTTGGAAATGGTCCTAAGGGCATATGCAAATGAAGAAACATTTATTCAAAAGTTTCAACTAAAACCCAGGAAAAATAGTGAGAGACTATTCCTTCCCAACTCAACAAGACAGAAACTCCTCAGACTGATCTAAACAAGAAGGGTCTCCTCTCATTTCAGCTCCTAGTTGGAAGACTGTTTTCCTGGGAGAGTCAGGGCTTCACATTTCTTCTCTTACCTCCAGCTACCTGTTCTGAGGCTGGGTTCTGGGTATGTGTAGTTAAGAGATGAGAATTCCTTTCTGGCCAACCCATCTCTTTGGATAGAGGCTTTACTCTGGAGTTGGTGCCACTGAGAATAATGGGGCTCTGGCCACGCTTACCTCCTTGGAAGGTGGAGGTTCCACACTGGGAGAGGCAAGCCAAGAAGACCTGAGGTTACTGCTCCCCTTCTACCTCCTAAAGCAGAGGTATCTCTCGGAGAGAAGCATGCCATTGTCTCACCCCCAGATACGGAGCTCTGGCTAAGACATTTTGCCCAGTGGGGGAAGCAGACCGTTAAAAACAGAGGGAGAACTCTAAATGTCTCCCAAAGGAAATTATTTTACTTGCAACAGTGTGGATACATTGACACCTAAGATGCTCTCAAAAACAATGGAGCTTGTGGTAAAGAGTAATTAAGGGGCTACTGGTAAATTTGTTAGAGACATAAACTAAACTGTAAGCTGAATAGGTAAATAGAACCCGGGAAAGAAACAGTAGTGAAGAGCCCTCCTGGGGTCAAAAAATGTGCCCATGTTTAATTGGATCAGTCTATGAAACAATTCACTTCCCAGGTCATTGTTGAAAACATAAAGCAACCACCTGGCAATCATTGGAGCTTAGCAGCTGGGTGTGAGCAATTAATAGATGAAGAGAGCCCTGCTAAAACCACTGCCATCTCATGGTAACTGTGGACATTCACAAGGCTGCAGTCCCTGAGGAACCAAAATCAAAGGCTTCACACTTGTGGGGGAAGTAGGGATTAACTTCACTAAAGTCATCCAGCCACTTACTAAACTAATAAGCAAATAAATAACAAGCCCTGGGGTGGGGGAGGGCAGGGGTCAATGCTCAGAATTGTGGCGGTGTTATATAAAATGTCCAGTATTGAACACAAATTATAGGACATAAAAAGAAACAGGAAAGTCAGACCCAAACACCAGGGGGGAAAATTGCCTATGAGTGATTAGATGTCAGGTTTAACAAAGATTTCAAAGTAGCCATTATAAAAATGTTCAAAGGACTGAAAGAAACCATGCTTAGGGGCGCCTGGGTGGCTCAGTCGTTGGGCATCTGCCTTGGGCTTGGGTCATGGTCCCAGGGTCCTGGGATGGAGCCCCACATCAGGCTCCCTGCTCTGCGAGAAGCCTGCTTCTCCCTCTCCC